AGTGTCAGTCCATTCCTTTAGGACAGTGGTTCTCAACCCTTCTGGCCTTTAAATACAGTTCCTCATCTTGTGACCCAACCATAAAATTATTTTCGTTGCTACTTCATAACAGTAATGTTGCTACTGTTATGAATCGCAATGTAAATATCTGATATGCAGGATGGTCTTAGGCGACACCTGTGAAAGGGTCGTTCGACCGCCAAAGGGGTCGCGACCCACAGGTTGAGAACCGCTGATGTAGATGAACTTAGTAATGGAAGGGTCTGGACCAATGGGTTTTGGAGGAGTGAGTCCTCATCACTATTCTCTAGGCCAGTGGTCGGCTCTTTGGCCCCTTGAGTGTGGCTCTTACACAAAATACCGACTTCTACGCATGGGCCACGAAGTTTCAATCTCATTGTACATGCACCCGCACATGGTATTTTGTGGAAGAGCTACATTCAAGGGGCCAAATAGCAGCATGTGGCTCGCGAGCCACAGTTTGCCGACCACTGCCCTAGGCTGAAGTAGTTGAAAAACTTAGTTTTATTACCATTTACCCAGAGACTTCTATACGTACGGCTTAGAGAAGTTCCTAAGAGACCTACGTAGCCCAACATTTCAACATTTTCCCTTAAGAACGTACCTTAGGAATACTGATCAGTGGACCTTTTTTTTTTTGCCTTTGCATCTGCCTGGCAGCTGGGATGAAGCTGTTCCCAGAAATCACCATCAGGCTGCATTCCCCACAGTCAGTCACTTGGTAGCCAGCAGACAGTTGGAATAAAGACGTCTTGGAGGCCAAGCATGACCCGTTTCTGTCCCCTCTAGGAGCTTGCTATGCCCGGGGAGGACCTGAAGCTTAGCCTAATCTTGCGGCAACCAATGATCTTAGAAAAAGGCCAGCGTTTTACTCTGCGAGATGGCAACCGGACCATCGGCACTGGCCTCGTCACTGACACACCAGCCATGACTGAGGAGGACAAGAACATCAAGTGGAGTTGAGTGCGGACCTCTGCTCAGGCTCTTGTATGCAGGGTTGTGCTGGCCAGTGTTCTGTTTCTCATGCCCCCTTCCCAGGGCATAGGCTGCAACCCAGCAGAGTTGCAACTAGACCATCCCTTCTCCTGGCCAGAAGGGCCACACGGCCTGCCAGGTGAGGTAGGTCAATAAACTGTTCTGTGAATAGTAAGTTAGCCTGGGTCTGTGTCCTTTGTATAAGTTGGAAGGATGGAGGAATATAAAAAGGGAGCCAGAGCCAGGCTGGCGTGGCTCAATGAACCAGGTCATGGTTCAATTTCTGGTCGGGGCATATACCTGGGCTTGATCCCAGTGGGGAGACATGAAGGAGGCAGCCTATCAATGATTTTCTCTCATCACTGATGTTCCTCTCCCTCTCCTCTGAAATCAATAAAAGTATCTTTTAAAAGGTGGGGGAGCCAAAACCGGTTTGGCTCAGTGGATGGAGCGTTGGCCTGCAGACTGAAAGGTCCCAGGTTCGATTCCGGTCAAGGGCATGTACCTGGGTTGTGGGCACATCCCCAGTGGGAGCTGTGCAGGGGGCAGCTGATCGATGTTACTCTCTCATCGATGTTTCTAACTCTCTATCTCTCTCCCTTCCTCTCTGTAAAAAATCAATAAAATATATTAAAAAAAAAAAGGTGGGGGAGCCACAACATGCCCAGGAGGTGCCCTGGAGCCGGCTATTTTAACCGACTTCTCTCTCTAGCCTTCTCATCTCAATGAAAGCTCCCCTTTGGTGGCAACTGGAGAGAAGCCAAAGGGCTGAAAGCTCGTCTTGTGAGCTTTGTATGCTACCGAATATTAGCGGATGTCTTTTTGGGAGACAGTGGGAAAGGATTTATCACTTGGAGCCAGCATGGGCTCAGCTCATTTCCTCCTTGTGTAGGCACTGACATTAATGTCTAGCTCTCCTTGTTTAAGCTCTGATATGTATCTTACCTCTGGAACCAGCACCCATATGGTCTGTGCTTGATGGGTTATTACTGTGGTCACCAATTCCAAATAGGCTTGAGAAGATGTAGAATGAAGGTTTCGCTTTTCAACGTTTGAGAAAAATGCTGTATCAAATAATCAGAATAAAATGCCGAGGTTTTTAAAAAATTGAGGCCCTAACTGGGTAGTTAAGTGGGTTAGAGAGGAATCTTGATGCACCAAGGTTATGTGATTGATTCCTGGTCGGGGCACATAAAAGAATCAACCAGTGAATGCATACCAAAGTGGAACAGCAAATCAATGTCTCTCTAAAATCAATTTTAAAAAGAAAAAAAAAATTGGGCCAATCTGCACTTCTTAACACATCAAAAGGACTAGTAGGGTCCTGGCTGGTGTGGCTGTTAAGTGTCCCATTCACCAAAAGGCCACCAGTTTGATTCCCAGTCAGGCACATCCCTAGGTTGTGAGTTCGATCCCCAGTTCAGGTGTGTATGGGAGGCAACCAATAGATGTTTCTCTACAAAATCTTTAAAAAATTGAAGTACTACTACTTGCCCTAGGTGGTTTGGCTCAGTGGATAGAGTTTACTACTTGCCCTAGGTGGTTTGGCCTGCGGAGTGAAGGGTCCCGGGTTAGATTCCAGTCAAGGGCACATGCCCAGGTTGCAGGCTCGATCCCTAGTAGGCCCTGTGCAGGAGGCAGCCAATCAGTGATTCTCATCATTAATGTTTCTCACTCTCTGAAGTCAAAAATACATTATTAAAAAAAAAGTACTAGTTAACACCTGCAATTAAATCACTCAGTACTAGAGACCTGCACTTCAAACATCCTCAGGCCTGCCCAGCCAGTGTGCTTTAGTGGTTGTCTCAACCTATGAACCAAGGGTTCAAGTTTGATTCCTGGTCAGGGCATATGCCCAGGTTGCTGGTTGGCTAGGGCACATGCCCAGGTTGTGGGCTTGATCCCCAGTGGGAGTGTGGAAGAGGCCCTATTGCTGTCACTCTCTCTCCCTCTCAGAAAGGTTTTCCTGCTTCTTCCATCATTGCCCCACAACCCCAACTGACATCCCCTAGAGAGCTCTTTAATTTGGGACCTCAAAACTTACCCTCCCTCCCCAACCCCATGCCCACCACGTTTCAATCCTGGGAGTTCTTTCCCAATAGCTCATCTTCATTCTTCCTGTCCCAGTCCCAGCCAATTGTCTCTGGCTTTGCTCAGAGCTAAAAGTCCCCTGCCTACAATTAAGCACCACTCCTTACAATTCCCTAAGGGTGAAATAATCTCTATTTCACAGACAAAACCAAGGCCAGGTCAAAAAAAGAATTCTTACTGCTGCCTGGAACAAAAAACCCCAAACCCCTGAAGCCCGATTTTTCTTTTTTTAAATTAAATCTTTATTGTTCAGATTATTACATTTGTTCCTCTTTCCCCCCCATAACTTCCCTCCTCCCAGTTCCCGCCCCACCCTCTCCACCCACTGTCCTCATCCATAGGTGCATGGTTTTTGTCCAGTCTTCCCGCATCTCCCACACCCCTTTCCCCCCAAAGAATAGTCAGTCAAGTCCCTTTCTATGTCCCTGATTCTATTATAATCACG